TGTTCTCCCCCGTCCTGCTCCCCTCCCCTTCCCCCAGCCCATCCCCCATTCCCACCTCTTCCAGGGCAAAGCCTCAGCCGAGGACTGAGATCAACCTGGTAGACTCAGTCCAGGCAGGTCCAGTCCCCTCCTCTCAGACTGAGCCAAGCGTCCCTGCATAAGCTCCAGGTTTCAAACAGCCAACTCAAGCAATGAGCACAGGACCCAGTCCCACTGCCTAGATGCCTCCCAAACAGATCAAGGCAATCAACTGTCTCACCTCTTCAGAGGGCCTGATCCAGTTGGGGGCCCCTCAGCCTTTGTTTCATAGTTCATGTGTTTCCATTCGTTTGGTTATTTGTCCCTGTGCTTTATCCAACCTTGGTTTCCACAATTCTTGCTCATATAAGCCCTCCTCTTTCTCACTAATTAGACTCCCAGCGCTCCACCCAGGGCCTAGCCATGGATGTCTGCATCCAGATTCCTCAGTCCTTGGATGGAGTTTCTGGCCCAACTATTAGGGTGTTTGGCCATCCCATCACCAGAGTAGGTCAGTCCCAGCTGTCTCTCGACCATTGCCAGCAGTCTTTTGTGGGGGTATTTTTGTGGATTTCTGTGAGCCTCTTTAGTGCTTTGTTTCTTCCTTTTCTCATGTGGTCTTCCTTTACCATGGTCTCCTATTCCTTGTTCTCCCTCTCTGTTCTTGATCCAGGTGGGATCTCCTGTTCTCTTTCCCTCCCCCATTGCCCTTCATTGCTCCCACTCATGACCAGGGTGTTCATGTAGATCTCATCCATTTCTCTGTGTCTTTCTTGGGCTCAGCCGTTAAAGGCTAGGCTCACAACCAAAAATATAAGAGATGTCACACTCTTATGTCCATCTTCTATATTCTTTCTGTTCTCTCTTCTCTGATGTTCTTTGAGACTTGTGTGGAATTCATTTCATATAACTGTCCCATTGAAGACTGAGTACTCAATAGTCACTTATTCTCACACTTTGAACAGCTGTGATTCTCTGTATTCAACTGTTGCCCACTGATAAAAGAAGCCTAAGTGACATGCTAATCTATGGTTATAAATGTAAATATTTAGAAAATAGTTCTACAACATTTCCATTTAACAAAACAAAATTAATGATTCCTCTCCATCCTGTTGTGGGATATTATTTTAAGATGTGTTACATTTATTTATGCTCTGGAACATTTATTTAATGATGTACCAATAGGGGTGGGAACTCCAAATCACCCATTGTCTTCATTTTGAACAGTTGTATATCTCTGAAATGGTCTGCTGAAAAATACACTTTTTTAATGAGGGGCAAGAACTATACTTATATGTGGGGGATTGCAGTTCCCAAGGATTTGTGATGCTTGCTTTCAATCATCTTTATTTGCTTTCAAAGCTTAACATAGGGTTGGGTTTAAATCAGATACACACACACACACACACACACACACACACACACACACACACACACACACACATATATATATATATATATATATATATATATATATTCCTAAATATGTAAATAAAATCTGATCAGTTCCATTTTATTTAGGTCTAAAGAAAAATGAAATTATGAAATGCAAAGAGAAATGGATGGATCTGGAAAGTATTATATTAGGAAAGGTAATCCATATTCAGAAAGACTAACATCATATTTTCCTTTACTATAGATACTAGTGTGCACACGCACACACATATGAACACACACACACACACAAATATGGGTATGGGTCACAAAACTAGAAAGGAGACCACAAAAGGGAAAATAAGGTGTTGAAGAAGAGGTAAGGGGACAACAGACCAGAGAATACTTGCAGCATGAAGCAGAAAAGGGTCCAATTGGGACAGGGAGATGGAGAGAAATGAGAGCAGGAGCAACAAAATCATAATGTTTGAAAATATCATAACCAAACAATATTTAGTGTGCTAACCGTAAAAACAATTTTTTAAAGAAAATGATACAGCTTTCCTGTGAAAATGTATTCAAGATCTGGATCCATCTGGATCCAATGTATCTGTACAGCTCTGGCTATGCTGAGCTACTGGCACTGGTTCTGGATTGCCTCCTTAAAATTCCTTTGTTAACAGCTTTGTTCTCTTCACTGTTCTCAACATAGCAGCCAGAACAGCCCTCATAAAATAGGAATCACTTGTCACCCTCCACTGAACAGGACAAAAGATGATGTTCTTATGATGTCTTATGAGGCCCTACAAAATTACTTCCCTTTCCCTGTAATTGGACATTTCTCATCCTGACCACCTGGTCCCAAAGAACTGACTCAGAGACTGAATATGAATTATAAATGCTCAGCCAATAGCTCAGGCTTGTTACTAGCTAACTCTTATATTTAAATTAACCCATTTCTATTAATCTATGTTTTACCATGTGGCTCCTAGCTTTACCTTTTCATCTAGCATGTCTTGCTTCCTGGGAGGCTGGCTGGTTGGTGTCTTTTCTGACTCCAACCCTCCTTCTTCCCATCATTCTCAGTTTGGCTTTCCCACCTAACTTCCTGCCCAGCTATTGGCCTGTCAGCTTTTTATTAACCAATGATGGTAATACATATTCCTAATGTAGAAAAGGATTTCCCCCTTTTGTCTAATTAAAAAGAAAGTTTTTAACCTTAATATAGTAAAACTATATACAACAAGAACAGTTAAGTAAGAATTACAGTAACAATACCCAATCTATTTGCATTTGGTAAAATTAGAGAAAATACTCTATTTTTTTATCTTATCTTGGTGAGTCTAAAGTTTTATATGCAATTTACCTTTTTATCATAACTACAAAAAACTATAACTATCTAATCTTCAACTCTATCAAAGATCCCAGAAGGGTGAAATGTTCAGGGACATCAGGGTAATGACAGGGACCATCACCCAAAGTTCCTTTGCAATGTTGGTCATCCAATTCTGGCCTATAGGCCTAGCATATGTGACAGACTTTCTTGTGAAGCAGGGGATTTTTGAAGGACTGCCCTACCTTGTCTTGGTAAAGTTCAGCAGTCACCTTTCTTGCATCCTGCTGGTCTAGTTTGAACAGTTTATTGTCAGCAATTGATGGAATGGCAATTTCTTTGCCCATATGGCTAGATTTTGACATAAAGAAAGCCAAATTCATAAGGAGTTTCTTCTATGCCCATGACCTTCTCTGAAGTAAATCGGTGCTGCCAGGAGCAGATGTGTCTCACAGTCATGAAAAGTCTAAGTTATTAAAATATTTTAAATGCCATATTCTGTAGGCATTAAATATAAAATTCTGTGAAGATTGTCTATCTGAAATTTATCTGTATGACCTTGAAAACCTAACATGACTATAAGTTTGCTATTATATATGACTATTAATCTGTATTTCTTAATTATATATAACATTTTAAATGAGTTACATAAACATAATACAGTAACCAAGAGTAGAAATATACATATAGTATAACAAAATAATCTTTAAATTTGTATTAATAAATCAAAATCCATATCAATGTAAAATATGTAAGTTTAATAGTTGTTTCTATGCTTAAAGTAGATTCAATAGTCTACTCTATCCTATCATTTCTATACCTCTCCTTTTTCTTTTCAGAACAAGATTCCTGAATATAATTTCCTTTGTTTAGTTTTTTTTTTAGTTTTTTTCCTGGCTGTTGTCTCTCCTGACTCTGCTTTCTTTCTTCCCATCATTCTCAGTTTGATTATCCCACCTAACTTCCTGTCCAGCTATCAGCCTGTCAGCTTTTTATTAACCAATGAAAGTAATACATATTCATAGTATAGAAAAGGATTGTTCCACAGCATTTTCCTCTGTGACATTACCTCCCATCATGCTCCCCTCCCTTATTCTTCCTCAGTCATCTTGATCTTCCTCCTCTTTCTTGAACAAATTTCCATCATGTGGCCTTTGCACAGAGTGATTTATTTGCTGAGGGTGCATTCTATTCATACTCACATGGCTATCTTTTTACTTAACTAAAATAATCTCTCACTTCTACAAAGGGTGTAATAACTGTTATTTTCTTCTTTTTTGCTACCTCCTTTTTAATATAACTGGAAACTTTATCAAAGCTCTTTTATGTTATCTTATTTATTCTTAGTTCATACTCAACAGAATGCAACTTCTACACACACTAAATTATTGGTATGTTTGTTGTTCTGTTGTGTTTAGTGCTTGGGTCCACAAACACTATTGAGTAAATACATAAATGGATGTTTGATCCAAGTTCAATGATGGGGAAGATTTCCATTGATTATGCAGTTGAAGAAAAATTAAAGAGCTGGAAGGTAGGGAATATAATCTCTGCTAGGGTCAGTGAGATGACTGATCTTGGTTATCAACTGACATAAGTGATGGGGGATGTCTTTTTTTATGCTGTGAAAAATATGTTGCTCTAATTGGTTGATAAATAAAGCTGTTTGGCCAAAGGTGAGACAGAATAGGGTTAGACAGGACATTCTAACTAGAGAGGAAGAAGTTGAAAGGTAGAACAGAGAGGATGCTGCCAGCCTCCACCATGAGAAGCAAGATGTAAAGATACTGATATGCCATGAGTCACATGGCAAAGTATAGATTCATAGAAATGGGTTAATTTAAGATGTAAGATCTACTTAGCAAAAAGCCTGAACCAATAGGCCATACAGTTCATAATGTAAGCCTCTATGTATTCATTTGGGTCTGAGAGGCTGCAGGACCATGAGGACATGGGAGCCAGGTGGGCACAGGAAAACTTTCAGCTACACATAAGCAGTTAAATAGAACCTCAACTGAGGAATTGCCTCCATCAGATTGGTCTGTGGACATTTTATTGACTGTTAATTGATGAAGAAAGTCCCAATCCACTGTGGCTGGTGCTCTCCTTGGGCAGGTAGGCTTGAGGTATATAAGAAAGCTAGCTCTGCAAACCAGTATGTATTGCTCCTCTGTGGTCACTGCTTCAGTTCCTCCTTCTAGCTTCTTGACTTGAATTTTTACCTTGACTTCCCTTAATGGTCAACTTCAACCTGTAAAACAAATAAATTTTTTTTTCTCCTCATTGCTTTTAGTTATAGTGTATCCAGCAACAGAAAGAAAACTAAAACAATCACCATGAAGACATTAGTCTGGCTGCGCATGTCCTATGTATCTGTTTCATTTCTACCTGCTCTGCACCTGGCATCTCTATTTTCTTTCTGAAAGGTAACGAGTGCTCCATGGTCCTGATCCAATACATCCTACTGTAAAATTACTCATAATATTGGCCTTAGTTCATACTACTATGTGTTGCCAACCCACATATAAAAAAGAAGAGTTCATGCCTATCTTTTGTGTTCAATACTGCTCATCTTATGTAGCTGGAGTTTTCTCTCCGGGTCCCTCCAAGCCCCGGCAGTCTGACAGCCTACTTGTAAAATAAACACACAGATGCTTATATTATTTACAAACTGTATGGCCGTGGCAGGCTTCTTGCTAACTGTTCTTATATCTTAAATTAACTAATTTCTATAAATCTATACCTTGCCATGTGGCTCATGGCTTACTGGCATCTTCACATGCTGCTTGTCATGGTGGCAGCTCGCAGTGACTCCTTCTGCCTTCCTGTTCTTTTTTTTCTCCTCTCTGTTAGTCCCGCCTATACTTCCTGCCTAGCCACTGGCCAATCAGTGTTTTATTTATTGACCAATCATAGTAATTTGACATACAGACCATCCCACAGCACTTCTCCTTTTCTTTTCTTCTTCTTTTTTTTTTTTTTAAAGAGGAAAGTTTTAACTTTTACACATCTCCAAAGTCAGCTTGGTATATTTGGGAATTTGGGCGTAGCTTTTCTTACTACTTCCTGTTGGAGAGGGGTGCTATATCTTATGGGGACATAAAGAAAATTTTAGGATTGTGGAGTAGTCTGTGAGGGTGTATCGTTTGAGCCAGTTGCCTTGAAACAGTTCTGGATGTTGGATCATCTGAGACTTGGTGTCATCAGAGACCTTTTAGGGGGTCTTGGCTGGTCAAACCTGATGTATCTTAATCTGAAACAAATCCATAGCCTCTGGCTTTCTGTGGAAACAAAAGCAGAGCCTCCTTTCCAAAGCAACATATCCCTACATCCAAATTTTGAAGTCAAGGTACCTTTAAAATAAACATTTTGGCATAACTTAACAGCTTTTGCAATCAAATGTTTTTCTTCAGTTATGAATATTAAAGAGAACATAATCCAGATTCTCTGTGTGGTAGCCATCTTTATGTGGCTTATTTTTTTTATATTACCTTGAGCCTATTGCTTTAAACTGCAACATTCCAAGACTGAAACGGCTCTGTGGTTGCTGGTTCCACCCACTTCAGCTTCCCATCATGATGGTGGTATGTTTTTTGCCAGCTCTGGGAGCCATTGTGGGTCTATGCTTTTATCAAATTAGCATGTAGCCCAGAAACCTCTTTTTTTGTTTTGTACTAGCAAAGGCTAAATCCACCACACAGCTTAATGTGCCATTTGCTGAGGCCTCATTCCCACCATACTGCAGGTCGAGCATGCACACCAGGAACCCACCATAGTAGATAGTAGGTCAAACACGCAGGCTGCCACTAACTTGAAAGAAACAACTAGGAACTGTTTTAAGCTCCGTTTTAGAATCTTTTTATTTGTTTTAGGTGGAAACTCTTGCCAACACGTTGGGTGCCATTTGTAGCTGGAGTTTTTAGCCACCCCCCCTTTTTTCGTTCCTGAGGGCAGCTTTCAATGTTTTCTTCTAACTGAGAAGGTGAAATAGAGCAAGTGAACATAGGGGTCACCCTGTCATAACATGGATGGCACCATCAGCATTATTCAGGGTTGTTAAAACACCCAGTTTGCCTAGGTATAGTTCATTTCAATTACTGGGTATACTTTGCCTCTGTTGGTGTTGTGGCCTTTTACTCTACCTGTTCCTATGTTCACTTCTGAGTTTTGATGTGCTTGATGCTATTTGCTTTTAGTAAAGATAATGGTGAACCTGGAGTGATGTCAATTGCTTGTTGTTTACCAGGCAATGGGAGTCTTCTCAGATATGATACAGAAATCCTTGGATTATGATATTGACTGGAGCTCCAACATGCCACTTGATTGTTTTCAGTCCATTTTTACCATTGCTTAGCATTTGATAACTGGCCTGGGGCATTTCTCTCTATAGCAGACAGCAGAAAGATCTGTGCACCCCCCTTTGGGCCCTCCTTGTTTCCTAGCTTCTCTGGGGCTATGGATTATAGTCTGATTATCCTTTGCTTTACATTTAATAACCACTTATGAGTGAGTACATACCATGTTTGTCTTTCTGAGTCTGGATTACTTCAGTCTGGTTAACATGAGCAAAGCTTATATGAAGTCACAGAGACTGAAGCATCACCTGCAGGGCCTGCACAGGTCTGTACCAGGTCCTCTGCATATAAATTATGGCTTTCAATGTAGTGTTTTTATGAGATTCCTGAGTGTGGGAATGAGTTGGGCCTTCTTTTGGGCTCTTTTTCTTCTGTTAATTTGTCTTGTCCAACTTTGATGTAATTGTTTTTATTTTATCTTATTATGTTTTATTTTGTTATAGTTTAAAAAATGAATGAATGGATGAAAATGTAACCATTAGGGTAAAGTTTAACAACTCAACTGTCATTTATACCTGCTGGGAGAGGGATATTCAGATTTCTCCAATAGAGTAACACTGGGTACCTCAAGCACTCTCAGACAGGTTTCTTGTTCAGGAGTAGCTAACCACCATACCATAGGCTCCCTCTCTCTCTCTCTCTCTCTCTCTCTCTCTCTCTCTCTCTCTCTCTCTCTCTGTGCTTTTTTGTTTGTTTTATGAGACAGGGTTTCTCTGTGTAGTCCTGTCTGTTGTGCAACTCACTCTGTAGACCAAGGTGGCCTCTAACTCACAGAGATCCACCTGCCTCTGCCTCCCAAGTGCTGGGATTAAAAGTGTGGGCCACCACTGCCCTGCCATGTGTGTGCTTTTATTTGGTTACAGTTTGGTGTCTTCCTTCCTTCCTTCCTTCCTTCCTTCCTTCCTTCCTTCCTTCCTTCCTTCCTTCCTCCCTCCCTCCCTCCCTCCCTTCCTTCCTTCCTTCCTTCCTCTCTCTTTCTTTTTTGGGTATGGTTTTATTTTGTTTTCTTTGTTTTAGGGGGTTTATTGTATTGGGATTTTATGTATTTTTGTTAGAAAGAACTTAAAGTTGGGTAGGTAGAGAGAGAGAGAGAAAGAGAGAGAGAGAAAGAGAGAGAGGATCTGGAAGGACTTGGGGGAGTAGAAGAAATGATCAAAATGTTTAAATTTGAAAATTGTTTTTAGTAATAAAAATATAATAAAAATGCTGTACTATGCACTCCTAAATTTGAGTGATTTTATCTTCAATATCCTCAGCGCATAGGCATGCACACATGTACACACACACACTAACCACTTGAGATGATAGATATGCAAATTAGCTCAATATGGCAATTAGTAAATGCATATCAAAACAACACATTGTACATTATGGATATGTGTAGCTTTAGGTCAATTATAACATGATAAAGCTAAAAAAGTAACTAAAACAATGTTTCTTGTTGGCTGTTTTTTTTTTAACTGGGGTTGGGGTGGTAGCTCTGCAACATAGAGTATTATCCAATACCAGCTCTCACTCCTAGGTGGGACTGTTACACCTTAACTGTGTAAGTTTAGTTTTGTGTTTTTACCTACAGATTTGGATCATACTTTATACAAGTTCCCTCCTTTATGTCTAGCCTTTGTCTTTAGTCACATAAATCTCTATTTCATCACAATATCAACAATTTAAAGCTCTGAAAAATTGCCAATATCAGTGCTTATTTCTTTTTACAGTCCTAAGATGAGGACTTGAAACTCCACAAAGGAATGTTCCTCTTTCCTTTTCTCCCCTGCCCTTTGGTCTAGAAGTTATTAAGTAACTTCAGTTGTGTACAGCGAGAAAGGAGTGGATGAATACCTGCTCTGTACCTTCTATGTTTTATTAATGAGTAATAGTCTAGACATAGCAAGTTTTGACATGATGACCCACTGTGTTCCCTGGAATCTTCAGGACACCTCTGGTGATACATTGAGTGCTCTAAAAAATTTACCTGAATATCAAAGAACAGAACAAGTCACTAGATTAAACGTAGATGCCAGGCAGTGGTGGCACACACCTTTAATCCTAGCACTCGGGAGACAGAAGATCCATCTGGATCTCTGTGAGTTCAAAGCCACCCTGGACTACATGAGATTGATTTAGCCTAGGAAAGAAACAGAGCCTGGCAGTGGTGGCACACACCTTTAATCTAAGCACTTGAGATCTCATGCCTTTGCTTGGGAACCACACATGCCTTTAATCCCAGGAATGATGGCTGGGCAGAGAATGGTATATAAGGTGTGAGGAGACAGGAACTAAGGTCCTTTCAGGTGAAGCTTTTCAGGTTGAGGAATCTTAGAGGTAAGAGGTGGCTGTGACTTGTTCTTTTGTCTCTTTGATCTTTCAGCATTTACCACAATATCTGGTTTCTGGTTTTTTTTTATTATTATTAAAAAGGGCTATTTGAATTCGAAGTACAGGTACCAAGCAGATTGTACAATCCATAAAATTGCACCTAATTTGTTCTGTGTTTTGAGATTACCTGTCACATTTGGTTTAAAAATGTTTACTCTTCAATAAATATATATTTTAAGATGATTTCTATATGATACAGTTTCTACCATGTTCTTGTGTTTGTTGTCATTGTGATTTCCATTTTGTGCATAATGGAACTGAGGCCCAGAGTGGTCACCATGAAGAGATCATAGTCCCGGTTAATGATCTCTTGGTTGAAATTCCTCTAATAATTAGTCACAGAAAGATACATCTCATGAAATTATTTAAACATTTATAACACTTATGCACATTTGTCATGAAGGAATCCAACTATTATGTACTTATCTGTCACTATAATCCTGGATGTTATTATTAGATCTCCAGCCCTTCAGCAGCCAAATACTGAGTTAAATTCAATCAGTGTGTCAAACCTGAACTAGGTGGCGACTACTACTGCCTTCTTGCCATTTATGGCACAAGGGCTAAAGTAGAGATACAAAAAATAATAAAGGATGCATTTTTTTTTTAGTTTTGATAAGTATGGGAACATATAGAGATAAGAAGTATGAGTTTGGTGGCAAGAAAGAGATGATGAAAGCTTATGGGTTTAGAGGACAGCTGAGCAGTGAAGAGGGGAGCCACAGCTAGGGAAACCAGATACAAAGCCAGAATCGGCCCTTTTAATAAGAACAACTGTCTTCTATGAGCTTATCAAGACAAATTCTTCCTGCAACCTTGACGGAAGAGTGACTATGGGTACGTGACCAAGGATGTATGTTTACAGAAGAGAAAGCTGGGTTCTGAAAGGTCACAAAGCTCCCTGAGTCTCACGGCCATGAAGGAGCAATGGCGCCGAGTCCTTGACCCATCTATTGTGGCCACTGAGCTTCAACAGTCCTCACAATTTTGGCTCGGTACAGCCTTTGCCATGCCTGAAGTGGTTTGGAGAAATTCCACTGTCCTTTTGACTTCAAATCAACTTGCACTGTTTTTTAATCCTAAATTGGGTCCCCATACTCCTTTTTCCTTTTTGCTGGAGGCCTGAGTGATTATCACAATCCCACTTCTCTATAAAGTTCATGGTATTTCCCTGATGCCTTCACAACATCTCATCTGATATCTCATACTTACTTTCCTGAAACAAGTGCTCAATATTGCTCTTCTACCAAAAGCTCTAACATCAGCGCATTGGTCTACAGAGGGGGACTTGCAAGGAGGCCTGGGCAGCTCTGGAGCTTAGGAACCTTAGTGGGGCCAGGATATTGATGTAATGACTTGATCTTGTTGGTACAACCATGCTTGAGCTGTTTTAAATCTTGCTAGATGCCATATTTCCTTTGGGTCTTTTGTTTCTTAGCTTGTGAACCTGGAGACACATTCAGTTAAGCATTAAATTTCAACTAACAGTCAATCAGGTTCCTATTTGAGGATGGGAAATTTAAGTTTCCAAACATTTATATGCCCTGGCCTTATACTGAATAGTATACTAGGATGCTTCTACCACGTTTATTTTTCTAATTTAAAAATGAAATATCTATTTTAAATGTTCTTTTTTTTTTATAACAAAACAATTCGGTTTGTATTGCATTTTAGTTTGGGAGAAATTCAAAATATTCTGTCTTTTTTTATACTTTGCATTTATATTTAGCTTATTTAATGTAGCATATATGTGCATGTCTTTTACCTAGTTTAGTGATGACAGAGGTGCTTTGAGTTCCTGTCATTGCGCTGTGTAGACAGAAGATTTGGGCTACGAGAGCTACTTTGCAGCCTGTGCGATCAGTGACAGAGGCTGGACTCCAGACAGCTGTGTCACCATGTCTGGTTCCCACTATCCTGAGCTTCTACAATGTTCATGATGTCTACATTTAAATAAAAGAAACATAAAGAATATTGACAGAGCAAAAATATGTTTTGATTCCATGCACATCCAGGTTGAAAAGGAAATGGGATTAAGATGCAGGCAGATATTTAGCATGCCAAGCACAAGGAAGAGAAGAGACTATGGGCCAGAAAATGACAGGCAGAGAATCAGAATAAGGAAAATAGAGAAATAAAAAGAAAAACAGGTGTATTTGAAAGGAAGAATGAGTTAAAGTTTGGGTCCTTTAAGGCCCTCCTTCAGCAATTCTATATTACTGGATCAGAAATGTCTCATGATAGAAATATTAATGGTTTGGTTTTAGAAAAAATGGTTCATAAAAATGTGAAAGGGTGAAAGGACCAGGTTGGTTGTTTAAAGTGGGAAGCAAGAATAGACTGCTGGCAATGGTCAAGAGACAGCCGGAGCTGACCTACTCTGGTGATGGGATGGCCAAACACCCTAATAGTCATGCCAAAAACCCCATCCAAGGACTGAGGAATCTGGATGCAGACATCCATGGCTAGGCCCTGGGTGGAGCTCCGGGAGTCTAATTAGTGAGAAAGAAGAGGGTTTATATGAGCAAGAATTGTTGAAACCAAGGTTGGATAAAGCACAGGAACAAATAGCCAAACGAATGGAAACACATGAACTATGAACCAAAGGCTGAGGGGCCCC